GTAGTGGTTAAGTGTGCGGACTCTAATCTGGGAGAACCGGGTTTGATTCCCCACTCCTCCTCCGCTTGCACCTGCTGATGTGACCTTGGGTCAGTCACAAGCTCTGGCACAGCTGTCCTTGAAAAAGAGCAGTTTGTGTCAGAGTTCTCTCAGCCCCACCCACCCCACAGGGTGTCTGTTGTGGGGAGGGGAAGGGAAAGGAGTTTGTAAGCCGCTCTGAGACTCCTTTGGGTAGTGAAGGGTGGGGTATAAATCCAATCTCCTCTTCTCTTCTTCAATGCTCCCTTTAAGCTGTGGAGTCTTGTGAGCAAAAATTCTACTTTGTGAGCGACTGGCATTAAAGTTGTGAGCGAGCGATTTGGCTGCTGCATCAATTAGTTTGCTCTGGAAGCATCCTTCCTGAGCCAAGACAAAAATGTGTGAGCCGGAGGCTAAAAAACTGAGCTAGCTCACATTAACTCAGCTTAGAGGGAACACTGGAGACCGCCAAGGAAGTCCAGGGTTGCTATACAGAAGCAGGCAATGGCAAACCACCTCTGTTCATCGTGTGCTTTGGAAACCACATGGGGTCACCAACCTGACAGCACTTTCCAACACCACAAGAGACATTCCTCTTACCAGGGCTGCTGAGAGGAGGGAAGATGGGGGGGGGGCCCTTTGGCTACCCAGGGGGCCAACTGAGCCGGGCAAGTCCAAATCACACAGCTGAGTTGGGTCTTGGGAGTGCAATGGTGGCTCCCCATGAAATCATTTCTTGGGGGGTGTTGGTTGTGTTTTGCAGCCCTGCCTTTTTTTTTCTTTCCTGTTTTTAAACTGCTGCGCTTTCTTTTAGCCACAGGATGGCCCGGTGTACCGGAAGACAGGACTCTTCTATCTCAAATAGTGTAGAAGAGGGGATTTTGTTAGGTATAGTTTTTCCTGTTACAGCATTAGAGGGCTGAAAGGGTGTGCCCCTGTCTGCAGTGTCAGTCTTCAACTGGTAGCCTGAGAAGCATCAGTAGGTTGCAGCCTGCCCTCGGATAGGCTTCAACAGTGTACCTCATCACTCGTGTAATTTCACAGAACTGGGCCTTCTCACGGATGCTCCCTCATGGACACTCTCTGATTGTGAAACTACCATGTTGTTAGTCTTCTGGCAGACCTGCAAGGCTGTTATTCACGTCAGCTTTCCAATTCGGTGAACGGGTTTGCTGTCCCACTGCTTATCAACATATGCCTCGTAGCAGTAATGACGCCCTCTTCGTTGTTTTTCTCACTGAAGAGAGGAAAATGGGAAGGCTGAGGGATATGATTAGGAACTGTTGGTTGTGGTTAAAGACAAGCCCTGAGTTTTGAAAAGTGGCATACGATAACCCATGTTCCCTCTAAGCACTGGAGTCCTGTGAGCAAAAATTCGAATCTGTGAGCTACTGGCATTAAAGTTGTGAGCGAGCGATTTGGCTGCTGCATAAATTAGTTGGCTCTAGAGCCCTCCTTCCTGAGCGGAGACAAAAATGTGTGAGCTGGAGGCAAGAAAAACTGTGAGCCAGCTCACACTAACGCAGTTTAGAGGGAACACTGAGATAACCCTAGTTAAGGGCCTTCCAAGGCCCCTCCCCATTCCACACCTCTGGAGAACTACTAAATATTTGTCAGATTGGGGGTGTTCATCTCAGTAGACCCATAGGTGAGTTATTTGAACCACAAACGCTTCAGTACCTAAATAAAGAAGATGTGGTACTGAATTCATACATTTCTCCTCATGAGAAATCTTGGATCTATTCATTCTGCAAAGTGCCTGGTTACAGGTATACCGCTATTCTTGTGAAATGGTAAGGAAGTGACGTTTGTTTTAATAATATGGGGCTGAAGGTTAATGTGAGTACTCAATGAAGAGATTTCATCTGTTATTTTTTTATCTCATTTCTCCCT